GGGTCCCTTCCCTTTTTCCAGGCTGTCCCACAGGCAGGGCAGAAGCTGGAATTTCGCTGTGTTTGAGCCAAGAAATTCCAGCAGGAAGGTGCAGCAGTTTCACATTCCCAGGCTTTCCTGGGAAAGGGAGGCCCTGCAGGACCCAGGGAGAAGCTGCCAACTCGCTGTTTGCTCCTGTAGTGACCAAGGTGCATCCTCTGCTCCAGCTCCCACTCTGCCCCAGAAACACCCAAGGATGGGTTTTTTTTTTTGGGAGCAGCCTCTTGGGAAAGGCACAGGGCCCCCCATCCCTCAGTTTTTTTAGTCTTCCCAGCCAAAGTGGAGCCCCAGAGGGAAAGCCCAGCTCCTGGAGAAGGAAGGACCTGTTTGGTTTTTTTTTTTGCTCCAACCACACCCAGGGTTTTAAAAAAAAAAAAAAAGCTGAAGAAACCTCAGTTTTTAAAAAGGTGCCTGGCAGAGTTGGCACAGTTTAAAACTGTCATTACTTTTACTGCTAATTGAACACCCTCTCCCCCCCCCCCAAGTTTTTAATTAAAATGACTTGGCACTTTCCCCATGGGCATGGAATGACTTTGGTGCAGCACTACCAGGGGGAACCTCTGAGCAGTCTCAACATTTTACCACAAGACTGGGAAGGAAAGGGCAGGTTCCTTCAGGCATTCAAAGAATTATTAGGAAGCAAAATGACCAGAAAAAAAAGAGCTTTTTTTTGTTTGTTTGTTTGTCTTTTAACAGGAGTAAGAGGTGAAGGGCACATAAAGGATAAATAGCTTATAAGGTGTGGGGGGGGGTTGCAAATCCCTCCCCCAGTAAAACATGGAAGCTTTGCTCCTGTCAATGTAAACATCTCAAGTGTTGCAGAAACTCCTACAGATGCTTCTAAACACTTCTAGCCTAGAGTTTTTTGTTTTGTTTTTTTGCTTTCTCCTTCCTCTCCAACCGCTCTGGAATTAGTGCCATCGAGGAGAGACCGGGATGGATCCGTGTGGCCCCCGCAGTTCCTGGGAAGAGCTTTTCCTTCAAGGAGTAAAGCCTGGCGTGGGCACACAGACAAACACACACACACACACACACACACAATGCTTTGCTTGGCTGGGTTGGTGGTGTGGGATTGGCAAAAAAAAAAAAAGGAAAAAAATAAATCCCTTTTAGTTCAAGGGCGTGGGATTTTTCTCTGCCTTGTTGCACAATTCCACGGGAGAAGCTGCAGTGGGATAACTGGCACACTGCTGGGGTGGGCTGGGATTGCTCTGGCTGAACAGCCCCGAGGTCTCACCTCTCTGAGCAATCTCCTGGCTGCTGGTCCCTGTCCCAGCCAGGCTGGGCACGGAGCTCCACCTGGAGAAGCCTCCTGCAGAGTTTGGGGAGGGGGGAAGCGGAATTCCCCCGCGATTCCAAAATCCTGCTGCGCCTCCTCCTCAAGTCGAGTCATCCAAGCCTTTATTTGGGTGCTCAGAGCTGGACTTGCAGAGCCTGTCCATGATCCCCTGCAGCATGGGCTGGACAATCCCCAGGAGAGGGCGCTGGGAGGAGTCCCCATCCCAGCAGGCTTCCATCAGCTGCCAGCATTCCTCGTCGAACACCGGGAGACGCTCCGGGCGCACTCCTGGAAAACGGAGGAGGAGGAAAAGGTCACACCGAGACATCACTGAGGCTTCTCAGATCGTGGATGGACAACACATGGAAGCATGGAATCACAGCCTGGTTGGGGTTGGAAGGGACCTTAAAGACCCTTCGGGATTTAATAAAGGATTTCAACACACAGCAGTTGAGTTTCCAAGGATGGAGATCACTGGGGAATCATGGAATCCCAGAATGGTT